CCTGCCTCAATAATGGCCCTGCAATGAACACAGAGAAGACTGCAGGAAAAGCCAAATCTGCTGCAAGGGAGCTTTGTCTGCAGAAGAGACATTCTCACAGGGAATTCAAACTGAGAACGTGTCAGGGAGGCTAAGTACAGGGTACTATGAGAACATGTGAAGGGGAACTGATCTAACAGGTGAACTCACATAAGGTTTTGGGGAGGAGATGATGGTTAAACTGAGATCTGAAAGGGGACTATTCACATATATGTAAAAAGTCTCCATAAAATAAAAGGACAGGGCCAGTAAAATAGCTACCTTTGGCAACTTTTTCTTAAAACAATCTTTTTTATGGTAAAAAGTCATAAAATATTTAAAAACTAACAGTTCAGGGTTCTGTGGGAGGTCCTTCTCACCTCACTGCATCCTGCTCAGTATCATAGTATTATGCAGTCATTCAAATTTTTGTTGAATGATTAGTACAGTATAGTGGACAGAGATCCCTCTGGGTGTCTTTGATTGTGAACAGGTGCTTCCATTTTCCTCATAAGGATGACTCAGATTTGGCTAAGTCCTAGCATGGTGGTACATGCCTTTAAACCCAACAACACTGAGGGGTGGGGAGACAGAGGCAACAGGATCTGTGAGTTCCAGGCCAGTCAGAGCTACATAGTGAGACCTTATGTCAAAAAAAAAAAAAGAGAGAGAAAAACTCAACAAGACAATGTGTAACCCAATGCTGGGGTAACTATGTACAGAGGGTACCCTTGGGTTTAAAAGTCTATTAGTCAGGCCAGGTGCAACGACAGCACATGCCTTTAGTCAGGAGGCAGAGGCATACTTATCTCCATGAAATCAAGGTCAGCCCAGTCTACGGAGCAAGCTCTAGAACAGCCAGGACTATTATACAGAGAAAACCTGTCTCAAAAAAAGTGTGATTTGTCCAAAGCAATTTTTATGTTCATATATGCTTCCTTTTCCTTATCATACTCCTCAGCGGCAGACTACTTCCCCAACACTTCAGTCCTCAGGACCCCACTGAAGAAAGAGAACACATACACTTAGTTCGTGAATGCCTGTAATCCCAGAACCTGTACAGCCAGAACACAAGATCAAGGTCAGCCTAGGGTATGTAAGTAAGACCTTGTCTCAAAAAATAATAATTTGGGAGACAAAGAGAACAGATAATTCAGTAGTAGTGTTGCCCAGCATACATTAAGGCCCTGGGTTCAATACTACCCATTTTACATATGCTTAATTTAGTTGTAAATCTCACCCAAACTGGGGCTTCTAGGTGATCCAGATAATTGTAAAACTTCGCATGCCTTGGGCTGGGGGATGTGACTCAGTGGCAGAGTTTTTGTCTAACACATATTATGATCCCCATTGTGTGCTCTCTCTCTCTCTCTCTCTCTCTCTCTCTCTCTCTCTCTCTCTCTCTCACACACACACACACACACACACACACACACACACACACCTTATATTCCTTGAAGAAAAAAGCAGAAAACGAAAAACGTGTCAAAATGGACAACCATCAAGAATGTAGAAGACCTATCTACTACAAACCCTAAAAGTAAATTCTGACTTCCTAACTGAAGACAATTTTTGAGCATTTTGTTGAGACAGGATCTCACTATATAGTTATATGGTAAAGGATGGCCTCTAATTCTCAACCCTCCCAAGCCACTATACAGGGCAATTGTTAGCACTATTTTAAAATCAGAAATCGGAACAACAAAAAAGGTCACCATCTTGTGGCATTTATCATCCTAGAACTTGAAAGATAGAGGCAAGGAGAATCAGGAATTCAAGATTATCCTCTGCTACTTAACAAGTTCAAGGCCAACCTGTTTGAGAACTTATCAAACAAACCTAAAAAATCACTTATATTCTGGAATGGCAATAAGTACAAACTCACTTTGCAACAGCTAGAAGAGTTTAAATATCTACCACAAAGTACAAATGTATCTATAAGATCCGTAAAATTTTACACATACACAAACCAAAGCACTCAAATCAGCCAGTTTCAAGCAACTTATGTATTTCAGACTTTCAACTTTTTTTTTTTTTTTTTTGAGACTGGGTTTCTCTGTGTAGCCCTTGGCTGTCCTGGAACTTAGTAGACCAGGCTGTCCTCAAACTCAGATGTCTGTCTCTGCTTCCCAAGTGCTATGATTAAAGGCGTGTGGCGGTATTTCAGACATGTTTTAAGGAATGTTTTAATGTAGTTTTTAAAAGTTGTAGAACACCATTATAAGAATATTGCTAAACAAATGGTCTCTTTTACTATGCAAACCAGACCCACTAAATCCAGATGAAGTTTGTCCTGAGAATGATCCAAAAAGCCTTTCAGGCCTGGGTGTGCAGCACAGTGAGGGAGCACTTGCCTTGCCTAACACGCCAGAGGCCCTAGGGTTCTGCCCACACCCAACATTGGGGGGAAGGAGACACAAAAAAAAAAAATGGGAGAAAGGAATATCTAAAGCAGTAATCATTAATGTGAGTACATTTCATTTTAACCCTTTTTTTAATTACTTATACATGTGTGAATGCCACAATATGCAGGTGCCCAAAGAGATTTGGAGAAGGCTTGAAAATACGGGCGGCTATGAGCTGGGCTTTGAAGAGCACCAGGGACGCTTGATTACTGAGCAATCTTCCAGCCCCTGTGAATTTAACTTTTAAGCATGTTGGATTTTTACTTCATCGCTGTTTTTGTTTGACTGGTTTTGGTTAGGAAGGTGTCTTTTTTGTTTGTTTGTTCTTAAATCTTTCATTTATTTTATATGCATTCAGTGTGAGGCTGTTGGATCCCCTGGAAGTGGAATTACAGACAGTTGTGAGCTGCCACGTGGGTACTGGGAATTGAACCCGGGTCATCTGGAAGAGCAACTACTGCTTTTAACCATTAAGCCATTGCTCCAGCCCTGTTTTTGGTTTTTGAGATAGGTTCTTATGTAGCCCTAATCGGCCTGGAACTCTATGTGGGTCAGGCTAGCCTTGAACCCAGAGAGATTGACCTGGGTTTTGAGGTAGGGTCCCACTATATAGCCCATGTTTGCCTCAAACTTGCTAACTGTAGCTCAGGCTGGTCTTGAACTTGCTAACTATAGTCCTGGCTGGCCACAAAAATCACAATTTGAGCGCTAGGGTTGCAGGTGTGCACAACCACAGCAGGATCTAATTATAATTTTTCTAAGATTTATTTTATTTTTTAAGTTAAGTGTGTCTGCTGTGAGTACTCAGAACCCAAAAAAGGGTCTCAGATTCCCCGAAGCTGGACTTTCAGGTAGTAGTGAGTGGCCTGACATGAGTTCTGGGAACTAAACTCTGGTCCCCCGCAAGAGCAGAGCAAATTCCTAACCACTGAGCCACCGCTCCAGCCCCTAAACATGTTGTGATAACAGTCTTAACATCATTTCTAGAAAAAAACCTGAATACTCAGAGGAGGAATGTTGAGATGGCAGTTTCTTTGACAGTTACTTGTGATGCTTGCTTCTGTAATTTACATCTACTGAGTGTGTCAAGGCTCTAACGGTCATGACAGCTACTGTGTCCTGAATTACAACTTGCACTGCAACCCTCTCTTTTTAAAGAAACGCAAAGAAAAGCTTCAAAAATGTCCAAGATCACAGTGAGTCAGTAACAAAGTCAGGAACACTAAAGCTTCAGCTCCTACACAAAAACCACCACACACCTTCCCAATCCCAAAATTGAGGAGTCAACTGGCTATTTTCAAAACCTTCCAACACCATAGTACACTGACTACACACAAATCAAAGATTCATCTTGGGCCCAGGAAACAACACGATACGTTTGCACACCATTATCTCCTTCCTTGTTGTCATAACCAGACAATACATTACAAAAAAAAACAAAACAAACAAACAAAAAAACCCGACTTTGGATGCATTAGCCCTTGGTAATATGGACTCTTCAATATGAGCAATTTATTTTCCCACTACCTGAACATTTATAAGTTAATCTTTCATCACTTTGTCACATTCCATCCAAGGTGCTAAGGGGTACATTCATTTCCTCACTCAACAATCAAAAGTTAAAAACAAGCAATTCCCAGAACATAGTTACATTGCCAATGGGGGGGGCGCCAATAAATTGCTGCTTTTAGCGAGACTTTTTAAAACACGATGACATGCTTCACGGAATTACTGTTAAGCTCTCGGCCGGTTACTGTAAAGTAGCATTTAAGGGATATCCCTCCCTGTTTGGGACACAGCCTGACTCGTTCGACAAGATAAATCTAGGCACGCTCACACAGAACGCCGCTGAAGCAACTGAGCTTATTGAAAACATCATCGCAACCTCCCAAGTGCGAGTTCTCAACCCTCTCACACTACAAGGGACAGAACGACCCTCTCCAAAAACCTTTCTGGAGAAGGCTCCCTCGGCGGAGACCATGACAGCGGTCCTACCGGGAAGGGTTTTGGAAACAGTGTTGACACCCGGGAGGAGAGGCTCCCAGGAAGTGTCAGTGCCGCAGCAGGTGGAGTAGCCCTGCGTGCCGAGCCGGTCCTTTTCTGACCTAGTCTCCAAGTCCTCCGCCTCCCTGTCCCGGTTCCGCCTTACGGACCTTTCCAAGCCGCCTCGCGCCCCGGTTCTCTCACCCAGCGCAGGACTCCCGAGCCTCCCGGGAAGGGAGGCCACCTAAGACGGCCGCCGCACCTCTTCCGGGGACTCGCAGGCCCGCTCCCCGCCGGTGTCGGAACCTGACGGACCCTACCGGGGGAGGGGGGGAGGAGGAGGAGGCAGCCAGCTGCTCCCGGGGTCTCCCGGCGCCCCGGTTCCGGAGCCCCGTCCCCTCGGAAGCCGCGCCGCGTCCACCCGCCCCACTCTTGAAGCCCGTCTCCTCCGGAGTACCCCGGCGGAGTTACCGGCCCACTCAAAAGTACCAGCGCCGGCCGCCCCCACCGGTCACCCCGGCCTCGCTGTCACCGCCCAGCTCCCGGCTTCGGCCCGCACCGCCGGCGTGCCCCCGGTGACGCTCGGGTCGGTACCTTGCGGACCCCCTTGTAGATATAGAAGTAGAGCTCCCGGCCCACATTGAAGCAGAGGCGGTCGCCGTTGCCAGACTGGTCGTTGAGGTTTACGAAGGAGACGCGGACAGGGTTGGATCCCTGCGAGTTGAAGGGCACCCGGTTGGGCCGGCTGTACTCCGAGTGCGGCAGCAGCTTGTACAGACCTTCCCGGGTGGTGAATTGGGTCTTAATCTCGTTCATCTCCTTCCCTCCTCCCTCCGTCGCCATCTTGGAAAGCAGCGTTCATCCTGCCCTAAGTGCCCGGATCACGCCCACCGCGCAGGCGCCGTCCTCGGCCGCTCGGGCTCCACCCCCAACCCCCTTCTTCGCGGCCCCGCCCACTCGCGAGCCAACCCCCCAGGAAGGCGGGCCGAGGCGAAGGGGGCGGGCTAACTGAACACGCGTGCTCACTTGGCGCGCTCCGGCCGGCGGCAGCGGCTGGGCGTGCGCAAACTCCTCACTTGTAGAAGAAGAAGCGCGCGCGGCGTGCTCTGGTCTGGCGTTCCTAAGGTGAGGTGAGTCTGTGGGCGCTCTGGTGCTTCCCGGAGGGACCCTAGCCCGGAGAAGCCGAGGGAGGGCGTGACCTTGGCCGGCTGGCAGCCCCGGCGGAGCCGGAGCCGAGCTGTGCAGTCAGGTGTGTGGACCTGTGCGACCCCGGTGTGCCCGGCTCTTCCCGGGGCTGGGGAGGACGCACATGGTCGGGGTGGGTGCCGGGTCCGGGGCCCCTCTATGCATCCCAGAGGCCGTTTCGCAGGAGCTAGAGAAGGATTGGGTCTTATTGCACCTCACGGTTTTGTTTTTGTTTGTTTGCGTGAAAGCGGGATGGGAAGAAGAGCATTAATGTACAGGACTTGTGTTGAAGGACCTAAGGTAATCAGGTCCAACGTTTTGCCACGTTCCGGGCTCAATAACCAGACAGTTGGATGCAAACCGCAAGAGGTTATTGTTCACACAGACGCCTGCGGGCACTCCAGCCGCCTTAGCTAGCTGAGCGCGCCGGACTCCAAGACAGTTGCCTTTTTATATACATAATCTTGGCAAACAATAGAGGTATTGTAAAAAGCGCGGGCATAATTCATCCTTCCTGGAGAAACCACAAGGTCAAAATGAAGCTTATCCCAACAGGGCGGTTTCATGTGTTAGCACTCTGGACCAGATGTTCTTTCCGATCTGACCTTGTTCCCTGCCTAGGGGGCTTTGAGGAATTTTCCACTGGGGCGACCTTCTGAGTCTCAAGGGGGTGTATTGAGGTCTTTCAGTGTTTTCAAGTCTCACCGGAAACCTGACTGGTGAGCACTGGCTGGTTCTTGAGAAAGTAGGTTGTGTTGGCGCTTCTGTCTCCTGTGTTCGCATCGTCACTCCGTGTCTAGAGGAGGGGGCGAGGGTCACAGCCCATAGCTTCGGGAGCTAGACATTGAATCTGTGCCTTATAAAGGTAAAGCTAATTTTTTTAAGCCTCAGATTCGAAAGACCCTCAGTCGGGACCCTTGCCCCAAAGACCACTAAGGAGCCGAAGTTCGTTGCAAAACGCAAGAGGATTTTTATTAAGCCGGCGCCAAGCCAGGGTTCAGCAGCCTTGGGAAGGAGTGAACCCCAGCAGAAGTTACAGCGAGTTTTTAACCTGAAACCGCAAACGGGGTGGTGGGGGTACAAGGAGAGTTTGGTAATCTGTGCCAGACCTTCATGCAATCATAACGCTTGTGGCTAACTGCCCCCTTATCTTAGGCAATGGCTGTGTCCTGGCTGAAGTTGGTGGCCGGCCTTTTCCTGGAACCTTGAGGTCTGGGGAATGTTCCCAAGTCCTTGAGAGCCACCAGGGGAGGATGTTTATCTTTAAGTGCAGCCGCTCACCCCGGAGACAGCTAGTAATTTTCCAACTGTTGGGGCTCTTCAGATGAAACTTGAAGTTGTTAGGAGAACCATAAAGTATGAGTATTCTGTACACAGTCTAAATACTAAGGACAAGCTCACACATAAAAGTAGCATTAAGCAATCACCATTTGATGTATCCATTTCTGGGTATGTGCACTGGAATATGAACGGTTTTAAAGTGATAAACACTGTAGTAGGGTTCTAGAATGGAAAAAAGTGAACTGAAAAGTCGTGTCTGTAGAGTAGAAAGTGGAGCGAGCCCAGGATAGTGGTGGGCACCTGTAGTTCCAGACCTAAGGAATACCTGAGCCCAGATATTGGAAGCTAGCCTAGTCCACAGAGCAGGGAGCATTCTAAAGAAATTTAAATAATAAGCATTTTATGTAGTAGAAAGCAAGTACATAAACAGTAGAAACTGCCAATGATGTAAAAATGCATTTAGCACTAACACTTTGTAGTTTTCATACATGCTGGCCAAAAAAAAGCACTACAATAATTTTTTTTAATAATTAGTTAATTCTTCTTTTTGGAGACTGTATCTCTGGCATCCATAGGAGACCAGGCTGGCCTCCTTCTTAGAAATCCACCTACGTCTTGCCTCCCAAGTGCTGAGATTAAAGGCATGATCCACACACCTGGTTTAAAATCCTTAATACATCTATATCTAAAATATACCTTAAATTTCATTTTGTTATTTGTCTTTTTCTAAAATACAAATATGAATCAGAACTCTTAAAAAATACTAGGGTATGTATAATGGGCAATCCCAGTCTCCCGTGGCTGTATTATTTTGAACCAAAAACAGGTTTTCATAATGGACATTTTGAGGGATAAATAACAGCCTAAATTATCTAAAAAGTATTCAGTTGGGTTTTCTAGTTCATAAGGGAGAAAATACACTTTGGGAACTTCAGCAAACAGAAACTGAGACCGAAAAAGTTTTTTGTTGACCTTCAACCATAATATTCAATTGCTCATAAGACCAGTGTATCACTGGGCTTGATGCTAATGCCCTAATCTCAACACATAGGAAAGAGTGGCAAACAGATGCCAAGGCTACAAAGAGTTCCAGACCACTCAGGACCACATAGTGAAACCCTGTTCTCTCTCTCTCTCTCTCTCTCTCTCTCTCTCTCTCTCTCTCTCTCTCTCTCTCTCTCTCTCTCTCTCTCTCTCTGTGTGTGTGTGTGTGTGTGTGTGTGTGTGTGTGTGGTCCACTTCCAAAGGACCAGGTTTCAGTTCCCAGCACCGATTGGCAACTGTCTGTGATTCCAAGATCTAACACCCTCATACTAACATACATGCAGGCAAAACACCAATGCACATAAAATAAATAAAAATGGATTTTTAAAAATTTTTTTTAATTTTTTTTGGTTTTTACGAGACAGGGTTTCTCTGTATTGTTTCGGAGGCTATCGGTCCAGCCCAGCCTCTAACTCACAGAGATCCGCCTGCCTCTGCCTCCCGAGTGCTGGGATTAAAGGCGTGCGCCACCACCGCCCGGCTTAAAACTGGATTTTTTAAAAAGAAAATTAAGACCAGTATGCCTTAAGATTTTATTGTGTACTTTTTTTTCCAGTCATGGTAGCGTACTCTTGGTATGCCATCATTCCCAAAGACTAACAAAAGAACAGGAAAATCAGGAGTTCAAGGACAGCCTCAGCAATGTAGTCAGTTGAGAAATCAGCCTGGACTACTTAAAACCCTTCTTTAAGAAGAAATAATTCCAACGCGTTGGGAGGAAAAGGCAAGCAGATCTCTTGAGAGTTCCAGGATAGCTACACAGAAATACCCTGTCCCAAAAAAAAAAAAAAAAAAAAAAAAAACAGAAGAAAGGAAGAAAAAATTCAATACCAGCCTGTGCTACATAGCAAGACACTATCTAAAAGCAGCAACCAGGGCTGGAAGGATGGCTCGGTGGTTAGGGACACTAACTATCTAAAAGCAGCGACCAGGACTGGAAGGATGGCTCGGTGGTTAAGAGTCCTTCCTGGCCTTTCAGAGGAACTGGGTTTGAGTCTTCGCGCCCTCGTGGCAGCTGGTAACCCTTCTGCAACTCCAGTTGCAGGGAATCATGTATCCTCTTCTGGCTTCCACAGGCACTGCATGATTAAACCACACAGATGCATGAAAAGTAAACATCATCCAGGCATAGTGGGTACACCTTTAATCCTAGCACTCAGAAGGCAAAGGCAGATGGATCTCTGAGAGACCAGTCTCGTTTACACAGGACAGCCAGAGCTACATAGAGAGACCCTATCTCTCAAATAAATAAATGAATGAATAAAGTGTGATTCTTTTTCACAAAATGTTAAAATTTTGTGGAAAAGGTTTAAAATGCCTATCCAGACCTGGAGATATATATCCAGTAGAACGGTGGTTAGCAGGGGTAAGAAGGTGGAGGGTGACAGATGTTGGTCAAAAGATTCAGTATTAGTTTAATATGAATAAGTCCTAGAGCTCTTTTGTACAGGCTAGTATTCGATTATAACAAGATAGCATATTTTGGAAGTTTTAACTGTTTCACCACAAAAAGTAAATACTTAACCCTGCATGATTACCCATATGTATAATCGTAACAATGGAGGTAGAGGAAGGAGGATCAAGAGTTCAAGGTTATCATCAGATACATAGTGAATTTAAACCCAGTCTAGGCCCCATGAAACACTGTCTCAAAAATAAAAAATGAGTATGTTAGCCGGTCGTTGCTGGCGCATGCCTTTAATCCCATTACTCAGGAGGCAGAGGCAGGCAGATCTCTGTGAGTTTGAGGCCAGCCTACAGAGCGAGCTCCAAGGCAGCCTCCAAAGCCACAGAGAAGCCCTGTCTCAAAAACACCCTCCCCCCCCCAAAAAATGAGTATGTTAATTAACAAGCAAATTGCACAATATATATGTACATTAAACAATATACTATCCATGATAAACATATATTTAATTTTCATGTGTCAATTAAAAATGATTTTGAGTAGCTGGAAAGATGGCTCAGCAGTTAAAAGCACTGGCTGCTCTTCGAGAGGTTCTGGGTTCAATTTCCAAAACCCACATGGCAGTTCACAGCCATCTTATAACTCCAATTCCATGGGATCCAACACCATCTTTTGGCCTCTGTGGACATTGCACTGATGTGGCGCACAGACATACATATAGTCAAAATGGTTTTGAGGGGGCTGGAGAGGTGGCTTAGTGGATAAGAGCACTTGCTACCCTTCCAAAGGACTGGGGTTCAGTTCCCAAGAACCTGCACTAGGTGGCTCACAATCTCCCTTAACTCCAGATCCTGGGATCCTATGTCTTCTGGCCAAATTGACAATAAAAGTTAACCAAGTTTTCTCTGTCCCTGAATGGCTAGGCTTTGGGACCCAAGCCAGTAAAAGACACTTTATCCCTAAACCTAGAGCCAGGGAAACACACCCTAACACTCTGAAACTAGTGCCAAAAGAACATACTTTGCTCCTAAAATTGGAGCCTAAAAGCCAAAAAGAAACCAGTTTGGCTCTAACACAAAACCAGCTAATCCCTGAGCAGAAAAAAACTGACCAATTCTGAGTAGTTCTGTAGTAATCTCTAGCCTGGGGGGGGTGACCTTTCCCACCCAGGGAAATGAAGAAGCAGTAGTAACCACTAATCTAGAGGCTGGACTCCCCATAGATTTTAAACCTGGGGAAGTAGTAACCACTAGCCTAGATACATACTTTGATGTTTTCTGGACCTTAGGCCAGAGGGGCAGCCAATTCCAAACCTTCAGGCTGGAATTCCCCAAACCCCCTTTCTTAATGCTCTGGGTCTAAGTTAACTCACAAATAAAGACTCTTTGCTTTTGCATCAGAGTGAGTCTCCTGAGTAATTTGGGTTCTGGACTTCAGGCATTAACATTTGATGCATTGGTCAGAAACCCCAAGCCCACAATGATTACTACTAACAGGTACCTCTTTCTTTTTTCTTTTTCTTTTTGGCTTGGGGAACTTAAGCAGGTATCTCCTGGTACCCATCCACTATAATGTATTGGAGGACAGGTAAAATTTTGTATTTGTTGTAAAGCCTGTATTTATTATTTAACCTATAGAGTTCCATTTGTAACACAAGCCAGAAGACCAGGGTTACCCTGGGATCCTTTTGGGGGGATGGGGTAGATCCTCATTATATTTGACTTTGTACTTGATACAGCTGTCTGTTTTCTTCATATTTTGTGTAACTGGCTGAAAGAGCCTCTGTTTTCCAACTGAGCTTATGTGTTTGAGGTTTGTAAGATTTGAGATATTTGAGCCTCTTTTCCAGTTGATTTGTTTATGTCTGAGGGTTACAAGATTCAAAATAAGCCAGTCGATGGTGGTGCACATCTTTAATCCCAGCACTCAGGAGACAGAGACAGGTGGATCTCTGTGAGTTCAAGAGCAGCCTGGTCTACAAGAACTAGTTCCAGGACAGCCTCCAAGCCATAGAGAAACCCTATCTTGAAAAAAAAAAGATTCAAAATATCTTATTTGACATACCTGATTTGAGGGATTTGATTTAGCTTGTGTTTGAGGTAGTCAATAAGTAAGGTTTTCTTTTTCGTACACTGTCTGGTGTGGTGTCTTTTTGTGATTGTCTGGTAAATATATGTCCACTTGCTTTATCTGTCGCTTCATAATCAGGTGTAGTGCTGAGATTTAAGCAGACATACTGGAAGATCACTGGCTGGGAGACTGGAGTAAACCCTAGGGGTCCTGCTAGTGGGCCAGGAGGTCTTTCCAAAGACAACTGGACCCCCTTAGTCCCTCTGAAAAGATTGAGCAGGCCACAACTGCAGACTATTTCAAAATTTGCACTTGGCCACCAGTGTTGTCTGTGATTGTGTGTGTGTCCTTGGAGTTGTCCTGTTATTGTGGTTGGAACACCCTGAAATAAGAACCAGAAGCCCAACCACCCTTTCACTCCCGAGTCTTTCCTTTGGCCATTTTGAGGATTTCAGGGGTCGAGGATGGGAACATCTAAAGGCAGGCTGACTAATGGGAATGGTCATCCTTTCGAACTAACTGGCCTAAAGAAGACACTTTTATTTATTATTATTTTTTTTATTTATTTATTAGGCTGGGCAGTGGTGACACACGCCTTTAGTCTCAGCACTTGGGGGGCAGAACTCTCTGTGAGTTCAAGGCCAGCCTGGTCTCCAGAGCGAGTTCCAGGACAGGCTCCAAAGCTACACAGAGAAACCCTGTATCAAAAAAAAAAAAAAGGAAAGATTTATTTATTATGTATATACTGTTCTCCTTGTGTATATGCCTGCAGTTCAGAAGAGGGCACCAGATCTCATGACAGATGGTTGTGAGCCACCATGTGGTTGCTGGGAATTGAACTCAGGAACTCTGGAAGAACTCTTCTGAGCCAGCTTTCCAGACCCCAGGAGAGGGCACTTTTAACCTGTCAGTCTTTTGTTTTTTGAGACAGGGTTTCTCTATGGCTTTGGAAGCTGTCCTGGAACTCACTTTGTAGACCAGGCTGGCCTCGAACTCACAGAGATCCGCCTGCCTCTGCCTCCCAAGTGCTGGGATTAAAGGTGTGCGCCACCAACGCCCGGCTCCTGTCAATCATTATCAGCACTAAAAACAACATCTGTGGATGTCCCAGGAACCTGATCATGGACCCCCTCCCCACATCTTGGTTGAAAACTCTACTCAACACTGGGCAGGGGCGGGTCATTCAAAAATATTTGCCTTGTGGGATACCAAGGACATCCCCAAAGACCCTCACACACACACACACACACACACACACACACACACACACACACACACACACAAGCGCGTGCCAATTCTCCAAGAGGCATCAGAGGAAGAACTTCTATCCCCACTCCCACCATACTTCCTTTCCCCCATACCCCTAGATGCCCCTGGGGAGGCTGAGCCCATCCAAAGTCTCCCTCACAATGGAAGAACGGATGCTCCAAGAAGCTACTGCCTATGAGCCAGGTGCCACTGCCCTTCCCCTTCATGTGATAGGCCTGCTGGACGGTCAAGGCAATGAAAACCAGAACACACTCCCCCCCCTCTTTTTTTTTTTTCTGAAAACCCAGAGGGTCTTATTAACTTATTGGACTCTGCTATATTTACTCTCCAGCCTGCCTGGGACGACTGCTCCTTCAGATCCTTTCTACTACCGAAGAAAAGGAACTTACTGTTGTTGAGGCCCAGAAAGTGGTTCCAGACGACCACCAACCCACGGCCAATAGGCCCTGATCCACGCGGGTTTCCCCTTGACCCGACCCCAGTGGAATTTCAATTCTTCAGAAGGTAGGGAGCACCTCAAGGTCTACTACCAGGTTCTAATGAGGGGTTTCCAGGCAGCTGCTAAGCACCCAACTAATACAGCTAAAATATACGATGTCCAACAGGAAGCTGGTGAATCACCATCAGCCTCTCTTGAGAGATTAATGGAGGCCTTTAGGGCACTCTCCCTTGGACCCTGAGGCAGCCGAGCACACAACAGTAGTAATCCTAGCTTTTGTTAGCCAAGCAGCACCCAGTCCTAGGAAGAAGCTCAGAAGATAGATGGCTTAGCTGGCAAGTCCATAAGTGAGTTGATGGAGGTAGCCAACAAGGTATGCAATAATAGGGAGCGTTCCAGGAAAGACAGGTAGAATAAGGGTGGAGGAGAATGAGAGACAGGAGACGTTAGGACAGTAGAAAGGGAAGAGGATCGGAGAGTTACAGAGTGCTGCAGACGAAAGACAAGCTCAGCGTGGTCCAGATGCTACTGACTGCATCGGCTGTGGATCCAGAGAAGCAAAGACAGCTCCACCGCCTGGTCGGGGAATGAGGTAGCCCCTTCCTCCCCAAGAGAACAAGATGAAGTTTTAAAAAGGCCGGTGCACCTATGTTGGGGAGGTTGGACACTGGGCCAGGGAATGTCCCAGTAAAAGGGACCCCAAAGAGTCCCCTCATGTACTGGTGACGGAAGCAGAAGAAGAAGGTGACTGAAGGGGACGGGGTTCAGACCCTCTCCCCAAACCCAAGTTAACCCTGCATTTGGAGGGAAAATCTGTCCAGTTCCTGGTTGATACAGGTGTTCAACATTCAGTTCTGACTCTCCCCCTGGGTCCAGTCTCCAAGCGAAAGGCTTGTGTACAGGGGGCTATTGGCATGGTCAGTACTACTCATGGACTGCCTGAAGATGAGTGAACCTAGGGAATGGCCGGGTATCCCACTCATTCCTGTGCATGCCTGACTGTCCATACCCCTTTCGGGGAGAGATTCACTGAAAACAGTGGGAACTCAGATCTATCTTTTGACAAGGATGGGGTAACTGTAACTGACTCGGGAAGAAGACCTATACAGGTTTCAGCTATACAACTAGAAGATGAACATAGACTCAGAACCGCCCACACAACCCTGAGAATTAGGTCCGTGGTTGACTTATTTTCCAGAGACCTTTGTGGAGACGGGGGCCGGGTTTTGCTAAACACCAGCCCTTTATCTTAGCAGAGCTTAAAGCAGGGGCCACCCAGTGCAGATTCACCAATACCCCATATCAGCAGAAACTCGGGCGGGCATTACTCCACACATCCATCGCTTGGTTAGTCAGGGAATTCTGAAACCTTATCAGGCTGGAACACCCCATTGCTTCCCATCAAAAAGCCTAACTCTGATGACTACCAACCAGTTCAAGATTTAAAGGAGATCAACAAAGGGATCCCTGACGTCCACCCACAGTGCCTAACCCTTATATACTGCTGAGTTCTTTGTCACTCAGCCTACAATGGTATACTGCTAGATTTAAAATATGCCCTTTTCAACCTACCATTAGCCACCTAGAGCCTTGCTTGCCTTGCCTTCAAGTGGTGTGACCCTGAAAAAGAATTCATCAGACAGCTGACCTGGGCTTAACTACCCCAGGGATTCAAAAAGTCACCCTCAATCTTTGAGGAAGACCTGGGAGCTTGCCGGATTGAACACCTTGGGATCACGCTTCTACAGTACATGGATGCCCTCCTAATTGCAGCTTCCACTGAAAAGGACTGTGGGGTAGGGACAAGAGACCTGTTTCAGACTTTGGGAGCTTTAGGGTAGTGTTTCTCAGCTAAAAAGGTACAGGTCTGCCAAGAGGAAGTGACATACCTGCAATGGACCCCAAGAGGAGGGCAGTGCTGGCCGTCAGATGCCTGCAGAGGCTGTGTTAAGAATACCTGCTCCCACCAACAGGAAACAGACTAGGAAGCACCTGGGATTGGCTGGCTTCTGCCCTCTCTGTTTCCCAGGCTTTGCTGAAATGGCCAAACCCCTGTACGAAGCCTACTCAAGAAAGCCAGCCCTTTCTTGACAGGTAAACAGGAACAGGCATTTGCCCAGATTGACATGGCCCTGTTGTTAGCACCAGTGTTAGACTCCCCTTATTACCCAGTCCTTCTGCCTGTGTGTGAATCCTAACAAAGGAGTGTCACAAGGAGTTCTGACCCTGATGGCTTGGGCTGTGGCAAAGACCAGCAGCTTATCTTTCAAAGAGACAAAGAGACGAGACCTCATCACCTCAGGTTGGCCCCCATGCTTGAGGATCATAGCGGACATTGCCTTGCTTGTCAGATGTAGTCAAGCTTACATTAGGGCAAGGACTGACCATTATCATGCCTCATGCAGTAGAAGGAATTCTCAGACGGCCTCCTAAGCACTGGTTGAGCAATGCAAGAAAGGCCCGCTACCAGGCCCACATAGGCTTTGCCTGGTCAATGGTGTTAAACCGGCCACCTTATTTCCCAATCGGAATTTGGATCAGCCGATCCATGAATGCTCCGATGTACTTAGCCAAGTCCATGGGACACAAACTGATTTGAGAGAACAAACAATGCCTGATGCAGAACTCACCTGGTAAACTGATAGAATCAGTTTTGTTAAAAATGGACAAAGGTATGCGGGCGCAGCAGTGGTGATGGAGGAAAAGGACATTTGGGCCAAGGCTCTGCCTGCAGGGACGTCAGCCCAGAAGGCAAAGTTGATTGTCCTAACCAAGGCCTTGCAATTAGCCAAGAACAAGAGGCTTCGTGTGTATACTGACAGCCGCTATGCATTTGCCAAGGCACACATACAGTGGCGCTAATATATGAAGAGCAGGGGCTTTTGATGGCTGAGGGAAAGACTATCAGAAATAAACAGAAAACCCTGTAGCTTTTAGTGATCATTCCATCATTCGTTGTCCAGGTCACCAAAAGGGGAGATTCTTCAGTTGATCAGGGAAATGGGCATGCAGACAAGGCTGCTAAGCCAGCAGTGGAACAAGCTGTCTCAGCACTAACCCTAAAGCTGCCAGACTTAGTCCCCTCGAGGTGACAGATGAACCAACATATGATGCAGATCCAGTCCTCATCCACAGCCTACCCCAAGCCTGGCCACCTAAGAGGCCAGAGGGATGGTGGCCTACCGGAAGCTGGAAGTTAATCCTTCCCGAAAAGATGGCAATGGATTTATTGAGACGTATCTACGGGCCACCCATCTGGGCCCCAAAATGATTGAGGAGCTGATCAGATGGTCCCATCTCAAGGTATTCAGCCTCAGATAAGATAGAACAGACAGCCTCTAAGTTCCTGGCCTGCTTGGTTAACGAATTCCAAGCCCACTTGAGGGCAGCCTGGGGCATGGTTGAAAGGAAACGGCCCTGGGAAACAGATCTCACCGAAGTGAGGCCAGGGAAATATGGGTACCGATATTTGCTAGTTTTTGTAGACACTTTTTCAGGATGAATAGAAGCTTTCCCCTCCAAGCCTGATGCATGCAGCACAACTAGTAGTCAAGAAGTTGCTGGAGTGAGTTCCAGGACAGCCTCCAAAGCCACAGAGAAACCCTGTCTCGAAAAACCAAAAAAAAAAGAAGTTGCTGGAGGACATCATTCCCAGGTACAGCACACCTACTCTAATTGGTTCACACAGTGAACCAGGCTTTGCAGCACAGGTAACTCAGGGAATAGCAAAAACACTTAGGGCAGATTGAAATTGCATTGTGCATATAGGCCCCAGAGTTCTAGGCAAGTAGAGTGAATAAATCAGACCTTAAAAGAGACCCTTACCAAATTAAACATGGAAACTGGCGCTGGCTAGATGGCTCTCCTCCCCTTTGCCCTATATAGGATGTGAAACTCCTCTTATACCCTTAGGTTCGTACCATTTGAAATTATGTTTGGTTGGCCCCTTCCCATTCTCCCCAACTTGTGGTCTGACTGACTTACTGAGTTTAGTGATAATTAACTTGATTACCTCTTTAAATGCAGTATCCTTGGGAGTTAAAGACATCTGGCTGAGGTTACATCAGGTGTATGAGACGGCTCCACCACTCACTGCATCAGATCAAGCTAGGAGACTGGAACCTAGAGCCCATGTCATGATCCTGACCACACCACTGCCATCAAAGTTGACGGGATTGCTGCCTGGGTACATCACTCCCAAGCCACATAGCTGATTCAGAACTGACGGAGCCACCAGAGCCTGTTCCAGAGAGCACCAAGCCACAGTGGAACTGGACTGTAAAGCCTAACCCCAACAACGTCCTGAGACTCAAACTAAGGTCAGACCTCCCGATGGCCTTGTTAGTACCCGCTCTGCTTCTGGTCCTAGTAACACCAGCCTGGGATGCCTGTAACCCACACAAACCCCTAAACATTACCTGGCAACTTTTAGGCCCCCGTGGAAACCTGGTCAAGCAAATTTCTAGGGTTTCCCCACCAGGGGTATGGTTCCCTGATATAGTATTTGACCTTTGTGAGATAGCAGGTCCTGATTGGTTAGACAGCTCTGGAGCTCTCGGGTGTTCCAGAAAGAAAGATGCTGCAGAATGCCTCCAGAAGGCAAGCTTTTATGTCTGCCCGGGGTGGGATAGACTGATGGCTTGGAATTGTGGAGGCAAGGAGGATTATTTCTGTAAGAAGTGGGGCTGTGAGTCCACTGGGCATATGTGGTGGTTGCCGCCTGTTACAACAGACCTCATCACCCTTCGGCGAGAGCAGGACAGTGTCCCTGCCAACCCTTGTAACCGGTACCCATGTAACATCCTCCACCCAGAGCCTATCCCTCACCTCTGTAACCCAGTAAGAATAGTTTTTACAGACCAAGGAAAGAAAGCAACAGGCTGGGAAAGAGGGAAAATGTGGGGCATCAGAGTGTATGAGGGATCCCACCCAGGAACCTTGTTTACTTTACGACTGGTTGCCACGGCTCCTACCGCAGGAGGGCAGAATCCCCAAGAGATAGGACCCAATGAGATACTGAATCAGCCTGCACCACCCTTCCCCCCACCCAAGGAACTAGGTTGTCCCCAGTTCATTGACAATTTGAGACGTGCGAGAGAATCATTAGCCAAAGTTAGGGAGCGACTGGAAAAAAGAGAACATGAACAAGCTCAAGCCAGGTTTGGAGACTCGTGGTTAGTGATCTTAATCTCTGTGTTGCTAGGGTACCTCCTGGTCTCAGTGATTCTACTGGCTTTCATCAGGAAAAGGAGCAGCACTGTACAGTTGTCAGAGCCACAGCCTCAGTCTATCCCTGACCTAGTGAAAGAAACACCCCCTGAATCTGGGACCCAAGCCAGTGAAAGAGACACTTTATTCCTAAACCTAGAGCCAGGGAAAAGCACCCTAATTCTGAAACTAGTGCCAAAAGAAAACACTTTGCTCCTAGAATCAGAACCTGTAAAAGAAATTTGCCCAGGCCCTAAAACTGGAGCCTAAAAGCCAAAAAGAACCATAGAAAGAAACACGGTTTGACCCTGAAATCAGAGCTGTCTCTACCCCTGACGCAAAACCAGCTAATCCCTGAGCAAGGAAAACTGGCCAATCTCTTGAGTGGTGAAGTTGTGATCTCTAGTCTGGGGGTAACCTTTCTGAACCATAGAAATAGTGCAGTAGTAACCACAAGTCTGGAGTCCCGACTCCCCAGAGACTTTAAGCCTAAGGAAGTAGTAGCCCCTAGCCTAGATACATTCTTTGACCCTTTCTGGACCTTAGCCCAGAGGGGCAGCCAATTCCAACACTGAAGACTTGGAATTCCCCAAGCCTTCTCTTGGGTGTAAAACACCCTTCCCTCACGCCCATGGTCTCTCCTCTGCTCTCTGCTGCTGCTGCTCCTTCAGGCGGACAGAGGGACCTCAGTTAACTCACAAATAAAGAGTCTTAATTGTTTTTGCATTGGAGTGGGTCTTGTGATGATTCATGTTCTAGACTTTGAGTGTAACAGATCTAAGTTCAAGACCATCCTGGTCTACATGCCAAGTCCCAGGACAGCCAGGGCCACACAGAGACACTTTGTAACATAAATATTAGAACGCAGTTTGAGAAGCTCACCATATCCTGTTAACAAAAACAACAGAAGCTTACCCACTAGGCATATTTGTCTCACCTTGCAGGTCAACCTCAGGTGTATGTGTTTCCACCCACAGCAGGGGCAGTCAAGAAGGTACACCATTCCATAGCACAGAGGGTAAGAAGGCCATGTCAGCATTATTCCCGTGATCTTCTCAGAATCAACATTGGCTCTCATGTATGCTAAGCACCAAGTGGTGCATGACTCTTCCTGAGGAATCTGATAGAGTGGTGACAAAGAATTTGGGCATATGAATTAAGGGCATGCATACCGCAATGTAACAGTGTCCTCCCCACTACCAATTATTGTTTATATATCCTACAGACAGGAATGTGCACCCTCCCCTACCTTCCAAAATTGCACGGTTAGTGGCACCAATCTTGTGAGATTCTTGTACAAGTGATTGCAACTGCTATGATTCAAGATGAAAATGGTTGTGTGAAGCCAGCTGTTTTTCGGTGGTGTTGGGAAACAGTAAGGTCAGTGAATCTCATGGTTGTAAGCCCACTACTGCTCTTGTTTGGCTGTAAAGTGAGCTCCTTAGAAACAACACTGTTTGGAATATCATTACAGTGGATGAGTAATTCTGTAGTCCATAGTGGTTTTGACAAAGTGCTGCTGCTTCCATGATGCCGCCTGAGGGAATGGTGCTATGTTAGAGCTCAGGGTTTGGCCTCTGCTGCTAGCAATTTACTCAGTACCAGTCACAGCAAGTTCCCTCTTACGGAAGTAAGAAGTCTGTCTTTTCTGTTGCCATGACCAAGACAGCTTAAAAAAGAAAACCTTTAATTTGAGATTTAGGTTGCAGAGGGTTAGAATCTGTGACCATCATGACAGGGAGCATGGCAGAAGGCAGGCAGGCATGGTGCTGGAGCAGTAGCTGAGAGAACTAACTGGGAAATGTGGGCTTTTGACCTCAAAGTCCACCTCCACTGACATACCTGCTCCAATAGGGCCACACCTCCTAATCCTTCCCAAACAGTTCCACCAACTGGTGACCAAGCATTCAGATACTTGAACCTGTGGGGACCATTTTCATTCAAACCACCACAAAGTATGCATTTCTGAACCCTTGAAGACTTCATTCCTGTCATCATGACCACCTTGTTCATGAACCCATTAGGCTATGACAGGGAATAGGTCATCCTAGCTACTTGATTACAGGCTGTTTAGGATAAGGCCACTTTTTGGAGAGTTTACATGAAAACACAAATATCACATCTTTTTTTCCCATTTGGAGAGGTCTGTTCACATACTCTGTCACCAATTTTCCAATCATGATTTTCTAAGTCCCTGACCATCCACCTAAATTTTTGGCTATGTTTCATGAATTTGTGTATATTTATATTATATATCTGGCTGTTTTTCCTTCTGAGTAAAATGTATAGCAAGATGCACTGTCCAAAGTTGTACCCACTGTGGGGATTTTCCTCACCACTTCCCTTCAGGAATGCCCCAGAGATGGGTTATGCTCCAGTTGTTTATTTTCTAATGCCACTCACAAGACGTACACAACCATCTACAAATCAGGTACTAGCCTTCTCCCTCTGTCAGCTGGTCATAGGGCACGCTCCAGAAAGCATAGATACAGGAGCATTTGAGCCATTTTGAGTAACTTTCTTGGGCCCAGTCTTCACCAGCACACTTAATTTTTGATGATGACTTGCTGCGGTTCATGTCTGACTTTGACTTTGTTAACAGCCAGTTCATGATGGGCAGCTTTGGTCACATGATAACTTAGTGGCCCATGGTCAAGCGTTCAGTTTCCACCAAGGGCCCAATAGCTGGCAGGAACTCCCTCTTAAAAAGGAGAGTCGTCTGGGGCTGGAGAGATGGCTCAGAGGGTAAGAGCACTGACTGCTCTTCCAGAGATCATGAGTTCAATTCCCAGCAACCACATGGTGGCTCACAACCATCTGTAATGAGATCTGGTGCCCTCTGCTGGCGTGTAGATGTACATGGGGGCAGGGTGTTGTGTTCATAATAAATAAATCTTTAAAAAAAAAAAAAAAAAGGAGAGTCGTCAGCCAGGCAGTGAGGAATAAGCTGCCTCCAAAATTCAAACAGACTAGCTATTGTGCTTCTTTCTTGGCTAAAGTAAAGGCTAGATGTAACAACTAATTTTCTACCTTAAATCACAAAACCTCAGCAGACACTACACCACTGAACTCCTAGGAAATTCATTGAGAGAAGACCCGTGAAATTTAGTTGAATTTATTTCCCATCCTTTCACACACAAGTGCTTTACTAAAAAGTCTGGAGTAGTTGCTGATTGCCTCTTGTGGTCCAATTAGCATTGATGTCATCGTGTAATGGATCAGTGTGATGATTTGTGGGAGAGAAACATGGTCAAGATCCCTGAAAACTGTATCAACAGAGATAGAAAGAAGTCCCTGTGTCTCTGAGGTTGGTCAGTGCAGGTGTGCTGTTGACCTTGGCCAGCAGGAAGCAAATCACCTCTGGTGAACCTCATGTACAAGTATGTAAAAAAAGGCATTTGCCAGGTCAACAGAGCTGAAATTGGGTTCGCCCCTTGGTTAAGCCTACAAGTGGCATTCTCCAAGATCTGCAGAGTCCAAACAGGAAAGTTAAATGGCCTGTGGTTAGATCTGCCATCCTGCATCTTTCAAGGTTTTTTTTGTTTTGTTTTGTTTTAGTTTTTCGAGACAGGGTTTCTCTGTATTGTTTTTGGAGCCTATCCTGGAACTCACTCAAGACCAGGCTGGCCTCGAACTCACAGAGATCCACCTGCCTCTGCCTCCTGAGTGCTAGGATTAAAGGCACACAGGAGAATCAGTAAGTAGTTCAACGTTATCCTCAGCTATATATGCAAGCCCAGTCTCAAGGCTAAATAAAATCGCGTCTCAATTTAATAAAATACCTCGAAATAAATTTAACCAAAAGGTGAAAGACCTCTACAATGAGAACTTTAAAACATTGAAAATAGATATTGTAGAAGACACGAGATATTGGAAAGACCTTCCATACTTCTGGATGGGCAGAATTAATATTGTGAAAATGGCTATATTATCAAAAGTAATGCAGTGCAACCCTCACCAAAAATCCCAGTGACATTCTTCACAGACATAGAAAAGATAATCCTGGGGCTGGAGAGAAGGCTCAGAGTTTATGAGCACTGGCTGCTCTTCCAGTGGTCCTGAGCTCAATTCCCAGCAACCACCTGGTAGCTCACAACCATCTGTAATGAGATCTGGTGCCCTCTTCTGGCATGCAGACATACATGCAGGCAGAAAAATGTATGCATAATAAATAAATGAGCCTTTTTTAAAAATGAATTATAAAAAAAAAGATAATACTAAAATTCATCAGAAAGTCCACACGTTGCCAGAGTAATTGTAAACAGAACGCTGCTAGCGGTATCACAGTGCTTGACTTCTAATTATACCGTAGAGCCGTAGTAACAAAAAAACAATGTGGGGCTGGAAGAGAAAGCCCCGGGATTAAAAGCATTGACTTCTCTTCCAAAGGACCCAGTTTCAACCTCCAGCACCCATATGAACTCTATGACTCCAATTTGTAAGAATCTTAAGCTACGCAGTGAGTTCTGCACCAGCCCGTGCTACACAGACCCTGTCTCAAAAAGCAACAGCAACATAGGCATGGACAAAAAATTTCTGAGCAGGACTCTAGTAGCACAGGAAATAGCCCCAAAGAATTGACAAATAAAATGGCATCTTGAAATCACAGAGCCTCACCACAGCAAAGGTTACAGTCACCAAAGTGACTCCTGTAAAAGGGCTGGTCAATGCCCACCTGCACCCCACCCATGCCTAAAGGCTGAGAACCACAAGCACACTGGCTGGCCCTCCATCCAGCGCGTGTCTTCCACCCTGATCCTCCCGGTGTTTCCTTTCTATGCTCTCTCACCCAGCATTGGCAGCTGTAGTTCCTCATACCTGTCATGCTGTGCCTTCAGCCTCTGCATAAATGAGATTTCCTCCCTTCACCGCAGGCGGGGGAGCATGCCACTCATCCTGGACGACAAATAAGGCCACAGACTACCTCGGCTTGTACGTTCTTCAATCTGCATTTGGTTTTTCAGTTTGGTGTGTGTTGGGGAGGACACATGGCATGAGTCTTTTGTTTTTTTCTTTTAATGGGGTCTCATTCAGCTAAGGCTAGCCCTGAACTATTCCAGATTCACCTGCCCCCATCTCCCATGCGTTGAGATCACAGGTGTGAAACACCATGTTCATTCAGCTGTCTTCTCTGAGAGGTTTTCTCTTATAACCCAAATCTGAATTTTGTCACGTTGATGTTTTTTCTATTATTTTCTTTGGTTTTTTGAGACTGGGTTTCTCTGTGTAGCCGTGGCTGTCCTGGAACTTGCTGTATAGACCAGGCTGGCCTAGAACTCAGAGATCTACCTGCCTTTGCCTCCCCAGAGATGGGATTAAAGACGTGTGCTACTACCATCCAGCTCACATTGATTTTTTTTTTTTTTTTTTTTTTTTTTTGGTTTTTCGAGACGGGGTTTCTCTGTGGCTTTGGAGGCTGTCCAGGTACTAGCTCTTGTAGACCAGGCTGGTCTCGAACTCATAGGGGTCCACCTGCCTCTGCCTCCCGAGTGCTGGGATTAAAGGCGTGCGCCACCAACGCCCGGCTTAAGCTTTCATTTTTTATTCCTCTGTGTGTGTGTGTGTGTGTGTGTGTGTGTGTGTGTGTGTGTGTGTGTGTGTGTGTGTGTGTGTGTGTGTACTTGGTTACAAGTATCCATGTAGGTCAGAAGAAGGCAATAGGTCCCCAGGAGTTAGGAGCCACCTGACATGAGTACTGACAGTGGAACCTGGTTCCTTTGAAAGAA